CTTGTGCCTCAGCCTCCCAAGTAGCTGGGATTATAGGAACCACCACCACGCCCAGCTAATTCTTTGGTATTTTTATTAGAGATGGGTTTTCACCATGTTGGCCAAAGTCAAAGGTGCTGGCTGAATCAGCACCTCTGTGTATCCCCACAGTGTCCATGGCCGTTTTCTTCAGGGCTCATGTGGTGTGCTGCAACAGGGTTAGGGGGCAGGTGCACTCTGGTTTGCTGTGCCGGTGCAGCTGGGAGACCTGCCCAGGGTCACTGTGGCTCCGGAGTGGAGCAAAGGCCAAAGCTCAGGGTTCACCTCCTCAATCTGCTGTTGTAACTAACACTGTGCCTCTGCAAACTCTCTCCTGTGCGTCCAAGTCCATGAAGGTAAGGTCTGTTGTGGATTTAGCTGCTCTGAGTCTCTGCTAAGAGGAGCAGCTGATGAATTGACTCTTTCTTTCTACTTTCAGCATCTTCACTGCATGTTTCAAATCGTGAGAGCCTGATAGGCTGAGTTTTGTTTGGGGAAAGTGCCTTTTTTTCCTGTTGTTGTCGTTAACACAGTCATTCTCTGTTGTCCAGGTTGGGGTGCAGTGGCGTGATCTCCACTCACTGCAACCTCCACCTCCCGGGTTCAAGTGATTCTCCTGCCTCAGCCACCCAAGTAGCTGGGATTACAGGCACCCACCACCACAACTGACTAATTTTTGTGTTATTAGTAGAGATGGGGTTTCACTATGTTGGCCAGACTAGTCTTGAACTCCTGACCTCAGATGATCCACCTGCCTTAGCCTCCCAAAGCACTGGGATTACAAGCATGAGCCACTTTTAAAAATTTTAATCTACTTTTAAAAAAATTTAAAAAATTTTTTAATCTACTGTTTACACAGTGTTCTTGTACCTTTTTAAAAAGTGATGGAGCTTATAGTAATGGGTGAGGATTACTGCTACAGCAGCAACTTTTAAAAGGACTATCTTGTGATTTGGAATGCACAGAAAATGAAGGGGAAAGGTAAACATCTGGCTTTCACAGGCATGAACTCAGAAAGTCAAGTCAATTCATGTCCTCACCTTAGAAGCGGTGGAAGCAAAGGGACGTTTAGAGCGCTTTTTAGAGACCGATAATATTACGAGGTCAAAATGGAACGATAAATGGAAAAAGGACAAAAGAACAGTCTATTCCAGAATAGTACTTTCTTGTGGAGAATGTGATCCTCCGAGACAGCACAGGTAGTTACTGTGTTTATAAGGGACATGTGTTCATATTTAGTCCTTTTTTTTCCTCTGCATTTTTTTTTTTTTTTCCAGACAGGGTCTCACTCTGTCGCCCAGACTGGAGTGCAGCGACATGATTACATCTCACTGCAGCCTCGAACTCCTGAGCTAAAGTGATCCTCTCACCTCAGCCTCCCAAGTAGCTAAGATTATAGGCATGCTCCACCACACCAGGCTAAATCTTTTTAGTTTGTTTTTTTCATCAACTTTATTTTAAGTTCCAGGGTACATGTGCACGATGTGCAGGTTTGTTACATAGGTGAACGTTTGCCATGGTGGTTTGCTGCACAAATCAACCCATCACCTCTGTACAAGCCAAGCATCCTTTAGCCATTCTTACTCCCCCTGCCTCCTCGTTCCCCTGGCAGACCCCAGGGCATGCTGCTCGCCCCCATGTGTCCATGTGTTCTCATTGTTCCGTTCCCACTGGCCAGGTTGCCGAGAAGAAGAAATGCTTTTACATTGTTGGTGGGAATGTAAATAAGTTCAACCACTGTGGAAGACGGTGTGGCAATTCCTCAAAGATTTAGAAGCAGAAATACCATTTGACCCATCATTCCTGTTACTGGGTATATACCCCAAGAAATAGAAATCATTGTATTATGAAGATACATGAACGTGTATATCTTTTTTTTTTTTTTTTTTAAGAGATTGGGCCTCGCTATGTTGTCCAGGCTGGTCTCAAACCCCTGACCTCAAGCAATCATCCTGCCCTGGCCTCCCAAAGTGTTGAGATTACAGGCATGAGCCACTGAGCCCAGTCTTCCTCTACAACTTCTAACTTAGTGCCATGCCCCATAGTAAGATAGTGTACATTATGATTATGTATTTGTATTTATATATTGCTGACCTAAACAGAAGTTTCAGAAAAAAAGCTTAGCCTTTCTCTGCAATGCATTCTGATAGTTAACATTTTTTGTACCATTAAAAAAATCCCAACACTTTGGGAGGCTGAGGTGGGTGGATCACCCGAGGTCAGGAGTTTGAGACCAGCCTGGTCAACATGGCAAAACCCCATCTCTACTAAAAACACAAAACTTAGCCGGGCATGGTGGGTGGCTTTAGTCCCAGCTACTCTGGAGGCTGAGGAAGGGGAATCACTTGAACCCGGGAGGAGGAGGTTGCAGTGAGCTGAAATCGTGCCACTGTGCTCCAGCCTGGGTGAAAGAGTGAGACTCCATCTCAAATAATAATAATAATAATAATCCTGTTTGCAACCCCATACTAAATTTCCTTGACACCACAATATGAAAATCACTGTTTTAAAATAAACTGAAATTGGATTTTTATTTTTATTTTTGAGACAAGATCTCACTCTTGCCCAGACTGGAGTGCAGTGGTGCGATCACCACTCACTAACACCTTGATCTCCTGGCCTCAAGTGACCCTCCTGCCTCAGCCTCCCAAAGTGCCGGGTACCATGCTCAGCTTAGAACGGGGATTTTGAGGATATAGGCAGGCTCTCTCAAACAGAAGATAAGAGGAAAGATAGCTGAACTTGGAATTAGGAAACTGAGGCCAAGTCCAGGCTCTGATGTTTGTTAAAGGTGAAAATTTGCACAAATCTTACTACCTCTAGCCCTCCATTTCCCCATCTATCCGGTGACAACCATCCCGCCTCCATGTGCCTCACAGAATGCTCAAGGAAAAATTAAATCATTTTCAAATGTAAAAATTATTTTAAAAGATTGCATAAGTAATTCAATTATCATGGTCCTAGTCATAAATGGCAAAGCACTTGCAAAGCTGAGGACCTTTCTGTCCTTTAAGGGAGGCAGCTAGGAAGTGAGATGCACTCAGGAAAACCAGGCAGTACTTGAATTCATTCTCAGTGGTGAGGCGTGACTCATGCCCTTCCCTCTGTAAGACTGCCTTCCCTAACTCCTGGATTCTTGCCTGTTCGTGACACTTCTTTTCATCCTTACCCTTCTTCAGGTAGGCTGTAATTGTTTGTTTATTCAATTCATTCAGCATCTTCCTTGAGTGCTATGTATTAGGTGCTAAGTTAGGCACTTAAGACAGAGCGGTGAACCAGGCAATATCCCCTGTTCTCCTGGGTTTGCGCTTTAGTAGGGCATGTATTATGTAGAGTTTTTTCCTGCTTGACTGTCCCAACTAAATCGATTTGGACAGCAGTATTAGAACCCTAAAGAGACAAAAAGATAGATCATCCAGCAGGCTTTCAGCAGCCTGTGGATCACTGTAGCAAAGTCATAGGTCTCAGATGCATGGAGAAGATGATGACCTGGATTTAGTGAACAAATCCATGGTCAGCAAAGGTGGAGAGGAGGCTCTGGATATAGAGGCAGCAGATACCACCGCAGCAAAACCACTCTTCAGAAGATGACCAAGCCTCCGTGATTACCTGTCCCGGACAGCCATTTCTATAGGATCATTAACAACAAAGAAAGAAAGCACCAGCAAACCCAGCAGCATTCCAGGAAGAAGAGAAAGCCCTGTTTTCAGGACTAAGGGAGTAGGTGAACCATCACTCTAATTTGCCTTTGGCAAAATTTTCACATCGTCAGCATTGCTCACTGATGCTGTAATGCTAGTTTCAAAATCTGATCGCCCTTGTCTCTCTACTGCTTACTCAAGGGCTGTGTTGACATAAACAGCATTTACCCTGTTAAACTTAAGAGAGGAATTATGCAGCTGTCTGGGGTCACCTTGGGAAAGGGTAGGGTGAGTGGCAAGCTGTAATGATGTGACTTAGTAGGTCCTTCCTACCTCCCCAACCCCTAGTAAAGCTCCTCACCCACTGGATACCTGGAATTCCACCCGGGTGACTTGCTATTCTGGAATGAGAATGCTTTTCCTTCTCTCTAGCCTGCTTTCAAACTGTAATTGACCCTAAAATCTCTATACATGAAACCATAATCTTTAGTATGAATGTGTTTATAAATACACATTTTTCCCCTCACTGTGGTTGTCATTAGGTTAATACCAGCAGCTGAGGGGGCCTCCGGAATGTGGGAGGGTGGAGTGGGTGAAAGGTTCCTGACGGGAGTAGAGAAACCTGGATTCAGATCTTGATCATGTGGTTTGAAGCCAGTGTTTAGGCATCTTCCATATGCTCCTCTGGGAATGTGGGGAAATGATATCTATTTTACAGTTATCATGTAGATTTAAGGAGATAGTATGCAGAAAAGCATCATACAACAAATTAGATTCCTTCCTATACATTTATCTCAGAGGAGTTAACCACATATAGGACCGTGAAAAATCTAAAAAGAGTTACAACAAGGCAAAGCTTGAGCTAAAATGTGGAGGAATTAGTGAATTTCCCTGGGCACATGATAATTCACATGAGATAGCAAGATGTTTTCAAATATAGCCACCATACAATGACTGTTTTTTGTTTTTTCTGTGCAGTGACAAATGAGATCCTCTGTTGGGCTTTATGTCTAAAGCTTGAATTTCAAGCAATTTCCTCACTTAAGATCAGGAGTTCAAGACCAGCCTGGCCAACACGGTGAAACCCCATCTCTACTAAAAATATAAAATTATCCAGTCATGGTGGTGGGCATCTGTAATCCCAGCTACTTGGGAGGCTGAAGCAGGAGAATCGCTTGAGCCAGGAGGCGCAGGTTGCAGTGGGCTGAGATCATGCCACTGCACTTCAGCCTGGGCAACAGAGCAAGACTCCATCTCAAAAAAAAATCAGGTTTTCATCACATCAAAGATGCTAAAAAGAATAAGCATCACTTAATTTTCTCTTTGTTTCCATTTGATCAGCCATGGATTGTTACAGAACTTCACCAAGCAATTCCTGGATTTACCCCACTGTGATCCTCTGCATATTTGGTTTTTTCTCCATGATGAGACCCTCAGAACCATTCCTTATCCCATATTTATCTGAACCAGATAAAAACCTGTCCAGTGCAGAGGTAAGTTAACATACATACGTATCTTAATGCGGTTTTTTAAATTTTACAGGACTTGAACAAGGATACGGGGCTTCCCTCAACTTGAAATAAGATGAACACATTAAACTCAGTGAGCCCGATTTTCATAATATGTGTCACATAAAGAACTTTTCAAACTATTTCCTCCTCATACTTGCAGAAAATTGCAGCCAAAACACATTACATGTGTTAACAAATTTTTAACTCGCATAGAGTGCTAACATTTGTGTTAATGATAGGAGCCTTTCAGGTCTCCATTGATTCTATTATACTAATCCTAAAACAGCATCACTGGCAGGCACAGGATCTAAATCTAAATAAACTCTCAGGCTGCTGAGGGATAAGCAGGAGCTAAAGAATTGTGGTATTTCTTTATGACACTGTTTACCAGCAGGTGAGCCATTAACAGCTTTATCTCCCAGCCCTTGCCTCCTTCTGAGAAATGCCAGATTCTCTTACTTAAAAGAGCAACGTCTTTTTTGTTGTTGTTTGACATGGAGTCTCACTCTGTCATGCAGGCTGGAGTGCAGTGGTGTGATTTTGGCTCACTGCAACCTATGCCTCCCAGGTTCAAACAATTCTCCTGCCTCAGCCTCCTGAGTAGCTGGGACTACAGGCATGAGCCACCACGCCTGGCTAATTTTTGTATTTTTAGTAGAGACAGGGTTTCACCATGTTGGCCAGGCTGGTCTCGAACTTCTAGCCTCAAGAGATTCGCCCTCCTCGGCCTCCCAAAGTGCTGGGATTACAGACATGAGCCACTGCCCCCGGCCCCGCATTTCTTTATAAGAAGTACAACAAGAAAATGCACTGACCTAACTGTAAAATTACCCTGGGCTGATTTTACAATCTCCAGCCTCAGCCTTGAAAACACTATGTAAAGTGTGTGGCTTCAACTGCAAGGCTAATTGGTGCCTCGGGTGGTGAGGTGGCAAGGACAGAAAGGCAAGCTTGTTCTGTAGTATCAGATCACTTAGGGACAACCATGTTTCCGAGTTGCTCAGGTTGAAGCATGCCACAATGAAGACAACAAAGGACAGATGCAGGGTCAGAAGCAACTCAATGAGTCCACTGGGGTCTGCTTCTGCAGCCACTGTGGACCAGTTAATAGATCCTCCCTCCAAGGAGCAGCTCAGTTGTGTGGTCTTTGCCCTGTGGTCTCCTGCTTTCTCCAGCAACCTCAGTGATCCAGGTGTCAAGGTGGGTAAGTTCAGTGATTTGAGACGTTGTGGCACTCACCCATCATGCCCCACAGATCAGCAACTCCAGTCCTTCCTATTATGAAAATTGATATCCTATGCATTTCTGACTAAATCCATGAGATGATCCATATTAAATTGAGGTACAGACAAATCAGCAGAATGGTTAGGGGGAGACGGGGGAAGGTTGGGAACCTAGTAAATTTGCCCAGGAAGGAAAATGAGATGCATTACTTGCTTCCACTCTATAATGTGGCAAAGTTATTTACTCTTTCCCTATCTTCCCATATCTTTCCAGATGTTGGAAGGACTGAAACATTTGACATAGTGATAGATCACATGAAAATAAAGGCTGTTGGATTCTTTTTGTTGTTGTTGCTGAGATGGAGTCTTGCTCTGTTGCCCAGGCTGGAGTGCAGTGGCACGATCTCGGCTCTCTGCAACCTCTTCCTCCCAGGTTCAACCGATTCTCCTGCCTCAGCCTCCCGAGTAGCAGGGATTACAGGTGTCCGCCACCATGCCTGGCTAATTTTTGTATTTTTAGTAGAGACAGGGTTTCATCCTGTTGGCCAGGCTGGTCTCGAACTCCTGACATCGTGATTCACCTGCCTCAGCCTCCCAAAATGCTGGGATTACAGGCTTGAGCCACTACGCCCAGCCTGGATTCTTTTAACATTATAGTCTACTTGTCTAATGTTAGTATTTGAACAAGAAAGAAATGGTATTTTTTAAGAATCTTGGGCCGGGTGTGGTGGCTCACGCCTGTAATTCTAGCACTTTGGGAGGCTGAGGCAGGTGGATCACCTGAAGTCAGGACTTCAAGACCAACCCGATCAACATGGTGAAACCCCGTTTCTTCTAAAATACAAAAATTAGCCGGGCATGATGGCGGGTGCCTATAATCCCAGCTACTCGGGAGGCTGAAACGGGAGAATGGCCTGAACCCGGGAGACGGTGGTTGCAGTGAGCCAAGATCGGGCCACTGCACTCCAGCCTGGGTGGCTGAGCAAGACTCCATCTCAAAAAAAAAAAAAAAAGAATCTGAAAAACGTAGAAGTGTCCAAACGCTTTTTAACTCATCTACTCAACTGTACATACTATTTAAACTTAATATATAATTCAGATTGCACAATAAGCCAATATATTCTTCTACCGGGCTTTATCTAAGTGTATAAGTTGGTTGGTTTTTACCAATGGGAAAGGAGACTACCTTTTCTTAGTGATTTCCTTGAAAATGAGTTTTCTCATTATGTTTCTCCGTAACGCGAATAATTTCCAATTGGATGCAGAATTTGAGATACAAACCACAGGTACCTTAGTAAAGTACCAGTGCTTCACGGTCATGCATTGTACTAACTTTGCAGATAACAAATGAGATATTCCCTGTTTGGACATACTCCTACCTGGTGCTGCTGCTGCCTGTGTTTGTCCTCACCGATTACGTCCGCTACAAGCCGGTCATCATCTTGCAAGGTATCAGTTTCATCATTACCTGGCTGCTGCTCTTGTTTGGCCAAGGAGTGAAGACCATGCAGGTTGTAGAGTTCTTCTACGGGATGGTGACCGCCACCGAGGTGGCCTACTACGCCTACATATACAGCGTGGTCAGCCCCGAACACTACCAGAGAGTGAGTGGCTACTGCAGGAGCGTCACGCTGGTCGCCTACACAGCAGGGTCCGTGCTGGCCCAACTCTTGGTATCCCTGGCGAACCTGTCATACTTTTACCTCAACGTCATATCCTTGGCCTCTGTCTCCATAGCCTTCCTTTTCTCACTTTTCCTACCAATGCCCAAGAAAAGCATGTTTTTTCATGCAAAACCCAGCAGAGAAATAAAGAAGTCATCGAGTGTGAATCCAGTATTAGAGGAAACTCACGAAGGTGAAGCGCCAGACTGTGAAAAGCAGAAACCCACATCAGAAATACCCAGCACTTCAGGGAAGCTGAATAAGGGCCAGCTGAACAGCCTGAAACCCAGGAATGTGACTGTGGAAGTTTTTGTGCAGTGGTTCCAAGATCTGAAGGAGTGCTACTCCTCAAAACGTCTTTTCTACTGGTCTCTCTGGTGGGCTTTTGCCACAGCAGGTTTTAACCAGATTTTGAACTATGTTCAAATCCTGTGGGATTACAAGGCACCTTCCCAAGATTCTTCCATCTATAATGGGGCTGTAGAAGCTACTGCAACCTTTGGAGGTGAGCAAATGTCACTTAATCTTCCTTTGTTGGCTTTTCCCCCTTAAGACCGTTTCTCCAGGTACCGAACTTCATGGTACGAATTAGCTCTGTTCAGAAGGCAGCATAATTTTTTTTCAATCAAGAATGAAAGTCACTGGAAAAACAAGAATACCATGATTTTCTACTGTATTGTAGTTCCAACAAGTAACTCTTTTTTTTTTTTTTTTTTTTTTTTGAGACAGAGTGTCGCTCTGTCACCCAGGCTGGAGTGCAGTGGTGTGATCTCAGCTCACTGCAACCTCCACCTCCCAGGTTCAAGCTATTCTCCTGCCTCAGCCTCCCAAGTAGCTGGGACTACAGGCATGTGCCACCACGCCCAGCTAAGTTTTTCTGTATGTTTAGTAGACATGGGGTTTCACCATGTTGCCCAGGATGGTCTCGATCTCTTGACCTCATGATCTGCCCGCCTCAGCCTCTCAAAGTGCTGGGATTACAGGCATGAGCCACTGCACCCAGCCACAACAAGTAACTCTTAGGAGCTCAGGGCTTAGCACCAAACAATGAAATTCTAGTTGAATCCCTAAGATTCCAATTCATCATTAGCACAAAGGTTAATAACATGCCCTGTTCTTTTAGGATTATTTTTAATATCAAAATATATACATATATGTGTGTATGTTTTTATTATTTTAGAAAATAAATTAAGGATTCCAAATTCTCACTGAGGGTTTCGTTAATACAGGCTTTGAACTAAGTAGCATGCACCTAAAACAGTTCTAGGCTATACACTAACAACTTTCAAAAGCAGCTTTCTCATGATATTTAAATGAGGGGTGAAAGAGATGTGAAAGTCAGGATTTTAATATCAGAGGGAAATCTGTCTTTGAAGTTTAATCTACAATAAATGTTTATTTCCTAATAACTGGAAGCTTAAATGTCAAATGAGACTTTGAAGGTATTTTTTAGGAAGTGAGATTTTGCCCCACCCTCATTTACAAAAGGTTTTAGAAAACTCATGTGACCTCTATTTTATTATTATCTCCCTTTTGGGAAGCTTCAAGTTTAACTCCTGGAAACTAGGACTGTGCCAGAATTGCTTCACTGAAATTGTTGCTCCTACATTCCAAATCCATGGGGGGAAAATAATTATTTTTTTTTCCTCTGTAGTCATGATCGTATGTGGGAAAGTTAGTCATATGTCTGTGTAGTACTTTGAAATCTAAATACCTTTTGTTTATTTATTTATTTTAGACAGAGTCTTACTCTGTTACCCAGACTGGACTGCAGTGGCATGATTTCAGCTCATTGCAACCTCTGCCTCCCGGGTTCAAGCGATTCTCCTGCCTCAGCCTCCTGAGTAGCTGGGATTGCAGGCACCTGTCACCATGCTGGCTAATGATTGTATTTTTAGTAGAGACGGAGTTTCACCATGTTGACCAGGCTGGTCTCTAACTCCTGACCTCAAGTGATCCACGCCCTTCGGCCTCCCAAAGTGCTGGGATTACAGGAGTGTGCCACTGTCCCCAGCCCTAAATACCTTTTACTTTTGTTGAAGAGAACCACACACAAGTACTAACCCTAATTACTGTCAATTATTCAATTTCTTGAACTCTGTCAGTCTATACCGATGTTTTCACCCAAAGCTTCTCAAGTAAATTATGTCAGATGTTGAAGACTTTAGAGTGGAGATTGGAAATAAGACTAAGATTACTAAAGATTCATAATAAAGACTAACACTAGGTGGGGCAAGAAAAAAGACTAAAGCTATCCATGTAACACATCTGATACTCATCACTGAAAAAGACTTACAACAAAAACTGAGAAAAGAAAGGCAAATAGAGAGGCCAGATGTGTTCCCAGAGAATTGATTTCATCCTTTTCCATCCCTACATGTTGTGTTGAGTGACTAGGTTAACGTATCATTTCTCCTTACACTGCTGTGGTTAGGAACCTTTCTGGCCCCTCTGGAGAGTACAGTGCCTGGTATATAGTTGATACTAATTAAAAGTGTGATGACTAAGTGACTGAAAGAATAGCAAGTGAAAAGAAAAGCCAGAAGAAGACGTGGTTGAGAAAAGGATAGATCCACATTCAGGTCGATCACACAATTTTGTGAGAGCAATATATTTATCTTTCAGAATTACCCGAGACCTGGGTTTTTAAGAGAGGGCGTTGATGTTTTCTTGCATGCAAAGTCATTGTGTTTGATTGCCTTCGATGTTTTGTTTTCAGGGGCTGTGGCTGCCTTTGCAGTGGGTTATGTGAAAGTCAACTGGGACCTTCTGGGAGAGCTGGCTCTGGCGGTCTTCTCAGTTGTCAATGCAGGTTCTCTATTTCTCATGCATTACACAGCCAACATCTGGGCGTGCTATGCTGGCTATTTGATATTCAAGTCCAGCTATATGCTTCTTATAACCATAGCAGTGTAAGTTTTACCAACCACTCTTAAAACTGAACTGTATTATTCTCTCTTCTGTCTTCCTAAGCTTTCTCTAAGAACTTCAGAAGGATTTTAGTCAATTGCAATATTAAATGTTGACTACTTTATATTAAATTAGACACAACTAAGCCAACTTTCCGTTTAACTATTTGCTCTCTGAATATTGCTACAATATACCTTTAGTCATCAAGGGAAAAAACTCTGTAGGTTTATAAACCAAAAGCAATGATACATTGTCAGGTTTTTCTTTTTGTTTTGTTTGGTTTGAGAGATGGTCTGGCTCTCTTGCCCAGGCTGGAGTGTAGTGGTGTGGTCACGATCACGGCTCAGTGCAGCCTTGACTTCCCAGGCTCAGGTGAGTCTCCAACCTCAACCTTCTGAGCAGTTGGGACGACAAGCATGTGCCACCATACCTAGCTAATTTTTCACATTTTGTAAAGATGGGGTTTCACTATGTTGCTCAGGCTGGTCTCAAACTCCTGGGCTCAAGCGATCCACCTACCTTGGCCTCCCAAAGTGCTGGAATTACAGGTGCGAGCCACTACATCTAGCAACATTGTCAGGTTTTGATTTGTTTATTTCCAGCAACTTTCCACATAAGGTGTGATGTGATCTGCTTTTAAATGGTTAGGTTTAGATTTCATTCCTACTTTCATTTGGTTGCTGGAGAAATTCTAGGCACATACTTTTGTGACACAAAAGATTCTCAGGAAAGTTATTAAGAAGTTGGAGACTAAAAAAAGTAGATGCAAAGATAACAAGAAACCTTTAGCTGTAGTCATATATGGAACCAAGTAGTTTTTCTTTTCTTTCTTTCTTTTTGAGACAGGGTCTCACCTGGGCAGGAGTGCAGTAGTGCAAACATAGCACACCACAACCTTGATCTCCTGGGCTCAAGCAGTCCTCCCAACTCAGCCTCCTGCGTAACTGAAACCACTGGTGCACACTACCATGCCTGGCTAAATTTTTAATGTTCATTTTTGTAAAGACAGAGTGTCGCTGTGTTCCCCAGGCTGGTCTCGAACCCCCGGGCTCAAGTAATCCTCTGGCCTCAGCTTCCCAAAATGGTAGGATTACAGGTATGACCCACCTTGCCAGGTCTAGTTCTTAATCATTTTCTAAAAATGATTTCTGGGATTTAGAGTTTCCTATCATTTTTGCTTCTCAGAGATCTCTTTAAGAAAGAGATCTTTACGAAAGAGATCTCAGCTCTTTAAGAAAGAGATCTTTCTTTAAGATCTTTAAGAGATCTCGTTGTTTCTCAGAGATCTCTTTAAGAAAATGATTAAAAAACCATTTGGTTTCATATAAAAGTACAGCTAAAGCTGACTGCAGAAAATATGCTTTGCTATTAACCAAAAGAGATGAGAAACATTTGAATTTCAAATTGCATGAAAGAAGTGGAGACAACAGCTTCATCGAGTTTTGGTTTTAATTTGTGAAAAAAGTGTTTTATAAACAATTTACCACACAGAAATATGAGCACTCCAGGGAAAAAATCATCAAAGGAAAAAAAAATTAGTTGGTATGTTTATTTTCTTCATGGAAATCTCTTAGTTTAATCAGAATCATGCATCTTAGGTTGCTTTTTTTTTTAATGTGAGGATTTTGTTAAATGATAAAGGATTATATCATTTCTTTGCATTAAAAAAGAAATATTCATGGCTGGGCACAGTGGCTCACATCTGTAATCCCAGCACTTTGGGAGGCCAAAGCAGGTGGATCACCTGAGGTCAGGAGTTCAAGACCAGCCTGGCCAATATGGTTAAACCTCGTATCTACTAAAAATACAAAAATTAGCTGGGCATGGTGGTGAGCACCTGTAATCCCTGCTACTGGGGAGGCTGAGGCAGAAGAATCACTTGAACCTGGGAGGCGGAGGTTGCACATTCTCATCAGCATTTATTGCTTGTCTTTTGGATAATTCTAATTGAAGTGAGATAATATCTCATTGTAGTTTTGATTTCCATTTCTCTGATCAATGATGTCGAGCACCTTTTCATGTATCTGTTTGCCATTTGCATGTCTTTAAAGAAACGTCTATTCAGATTTTTGCCCATTTTTCATCTGATTATTAGACTTTTTTTCCCTATAGAGTTGTTTGAACTCCTTCTATAGTCTGGTTTTTAACCCCTTGTCTCGTGGGTAGTTTGCAGATTTGTTTTTCCATTCTGTGGGTTGCCTCTTTCCTTGGCTGTGCAGGAGCTTTTTAACTTGATGTGATCCCATTTGTCCATTTTTGCTTTGGTTGCCTGCATTTGTGGGGTACTCAAGAAATATTTGCCCACTCCAATGTCCCAGAGAATTTCCCCAATGTTTTCTTGTAGTTGTTTCATAATTTGTTTTCTTGTAGTTGTTTCATAATTTGAGGTCTTAGATTTAAGTCATTAATCCATTTGGACTTGATTTTGTATATGGTGAGAAATAGGGGTCTACTTTCATTCATTCTTCTGCATATGGATATTCAGTTTTCCCAGCACCATTTACTGAAGAGACTGTCTTTTCCCCAATGTATGTTCCTGGCATCTTTGTTGAAAATGAGTTTACTGTAGATGTGTGGGTTCACTACTGGGTTTCTGGGTTCACTCTTCTGTTCCATTGGTCTACATGTCTGCTTTTATGTCAGAACTATGCTGTTTTGGTTACTATAGCTCTATAGTATAATTCAAAGTCAGGTAATGTGATTCCTCCAGTTTTTTGTTGTTGTTGTTGTTTCATTTTGTTTTGTTTTGCTTAGGATAGCTTTGACTATTCTGGGTCTTCTGTGGTTTCACATAAATTTTAGAATTGTTTTTTCTATGTCTGTGAAGAATATCCTTGGCATTTTTATAGGGATTGCATTGAATCTGTAGATTGCTTTGGATAGTATGGGCATTTTAACAATACTGATTCCTCCAGTCCACAAATATGGAATATTATTCCATTTTGTGTGTGTGTGTCCTCTTCAATTTCTTGTATCAGTGTTTTATAGTTTTCATTGCAAAGATCTTTCACTTCTTTAGTTAATTCTTAGGTATTTTATTTTATCTATTGTAAATAGGATCACTTTTTTGATTTCTTTTTCATATTGTTCTCTGTTTGCATATAGAAATGTTATGGAGTTTTGTATGTTGATTTTATGTCCTGCAAATATACTGAACTTATTTATCAGCTCTAATAGTTTATTGGTAAGAGTCTAAGTTTTCCTAAATGTAAGATCATATCGTCTGCAAGCAAGGATAATTTGACTTGATCCTTTCCAATGTGGATGCCCTTTATTTCTTTCTCTTGTCTGATTGTTCTAGATAGGACTTCCAGTGCTATGTTGAATAGTGGTGGTAAAAGTAGGCATCCTTGTCAGTTTTCTCCCATTCAGTCTGATACTAGCTGTATGTCTGTCATATATAGCTTTTATTATATGGAGTATGTTCCTTCTATACCCAGTTTTTTAAGGGTGTTTATCAAGAAGGGATGTTGAATTGTATCACATGCTTTATTTAGCATCAATTGAATGATCATAGTTTTTGTCCTTCATTCTGTTGATGTGACTTATCACATTGATTGATTTGCATATGTTAAATGATCCTTGCATCCCTGGGATAAATCCCACTTAGTCATGATAGATTATCTTTCTCATGTATTGTTGAATTCAGTTTGCTAGTATTTTGTTGAGAATTTTTGCATTGATATTCATCAGAGATTGGCCTGTAGTTGTTTTTTGTTTTTAATGTGCCTTTGTCTGGTTTTGCTGTTAGGGTAATACTGGCCTGGTAGAATGAGTTTGGAAGTGTTCCCTCCTCTGTTTTTTAGAATAATTTGGATAGGATTGGAATTAGTTCTTTTATAGAATTCAGAAGTGAAGCCATTGGGTCCTGGGCTTTCCTTTAGTGGGAGGCTTTTTATTATGTCTTCAATCTCATTACTTGTTATTGGTCTGCTCAGGTTTTGGATTTCTTCATGGTTCAATCTGCATAGGTTGTTTGTATCTAGGAATTTATCCATTTCTTCTAGATTTTCCAATTTATTGGCATATACTTGATCACAGTAGCCACTGATGATTCTTTGAATTTCTGCAGTATTGGTTTTAATGTCTCCTTTTACATCTCTAGTTTTATTTACTTGGGCCTTATCTCTTTTTCTTAGTCTGGCTAAAGGTTTGTCAATTTTATCTTTTCTAAAATCCAACTTTTTGTTTCATTGACCTTTTGTATTGTTTTCTTCATTTCAATTTCATTTCTTTCTGCTCTGATGTTTATTATTTCTTTTCTTCTACTAATTTTGGGTTACGTTTACTCTTGCTTTTCTAGTTCTTTAAGATGCATCATTAGGTTATTTATTTGAGGTGTCTCTTCTTCTTTTTTTTTTTTTTTTTTTTTAAGAGACAGGGTCTTACTGTGTTGCCCAGGCTGGAGTGCACTGGCATGATCATCTCTACTCACTGCAACTTCTGCCTCCTGGGCTCAAGTGATCCTCCTGCCTCAGACTCCTGAGAAGCTGGGACCACAAACGTGCACCACCACGCCTGGCTAATTTTTTGTATTTTTGGTAAAGACGGAGTTTCACTATATTGACCAGGCTGGTCTAGAACTCTGGAGCTCAAGTGATTCATCTGCCTCAGCCTTGCAGAATGCTGGAATTACACACATGGGCCACCACACTCGGCCTCTCTTCTTTTTTTATGTAGGCACTTGTAACTATAAACTTCCCTCTTAGTACTGTTTTCACTGTGTCCTATAGGTTTTGGCATGTTGTGTTTCCGTTATCATTTGTTTCAAGAAATTTTTCAATTTCTCTCAATTCCTCGATTTCTTCATTGACCCACTGGTCATTCGGGGCATATTGTTTAATTTCCATGTGTTTCTATAGTTTCCAAAATCTCTCTTGTTGATTTCTAGTTTTATTCTATTGTGGTCAGAGACAATGTTTGATATTAATTATTTCAAATATTTGAATATGTTTTAAGAGTTGTTTTGTGACCTAACATGGTTTATCCTTGACAATGATCCATATGCTGAGAACAGTATGTATTCTGTGGCCAATGAAAAGTTCTGTAAATATCTATTAGGTCCATTTTTTCTATAGTACAGATTAAGTCTGATGTTTCTTTATTGATTTTCTATCTGGAAAATCTATCCAGTGCTGAAAGTGGGGTTTTAAAGTCTCTAGCTATTATTGTATTGCATTCTCTTATCTCTTTCTAGTTCTAATATTTGCTTTATATATGGGTGCTCCAGTGTTGGGTGCATATATATTTACAATTTTTATATCCTCTTGCTGAATTGACCCTTTTATCATTGTATAATGACCTTTGTCTCTAGTTTCTGTCTTGAAATCTATTCTCTCTGCTATAAGTATAGCTACAAACCCTGTTTTTTTGTTTATTTCCATTGGCATGGCATACCTTTGTCCATCACTCCATTTTCAGTCTATGTATGTCTTTATAGGTAAAATGTATTTCTTGTAGGCAACAGATCATTGGGTCCTTCTAAAAATCCATTCAACCACTCTCTTTTGAAGAGTTTAAACTGATACATAAGGACTTACTCCTGTTATTTTGTTATTTCTTTTCTGGTTTTGTGGCCTTTTTCCTTTTCTTTCTTCCTTTTAGTGAAGGTGGTTTTCTCTGGTGATATAATTTAATTTCTTTTTTACTTTTTGGGTATCCATTGTATGTTTTTCAATTTGAGATTACCATGAGGCTTGCAAATACTATCTTATAACCCATGATTTTAAGCTGGTAACAACTTAAGACTATTTGCATAAACAAACAAGCAAAAAGAAAACTAATAAAAACTCTACAGTATAACTTTGTCCTCCTGCTTTTTAACTTTTTGTTGTTTCTATTTATATCTTACTGTACTGTCTTGAAAATTTGTAGTTACTATTTTTGATTGGTTCATCTTTTAGTCTTTCTACTTACAAGAGTAGTTTATACACCTGTTGCAGTGTGATAATATTCTGTGTTGTTCTATGTGCTTATTATCGCAAGTGAGTTTTGTGCCTTTACATGTTTTCTTATTGCTCATGAACGTCCTTTTCTTAGAGATGGAAGTACTCCCTTTAGCATTTCTTGTAGGACAGGTCTGGTGTTGATGAAATCCCTCAGCTTCTATTTGTTTGGGATGGTCTTTATTTCTCCTTCAGGTTTGATGTTTTCACTGGATATACCATTCTAGGGTAAAGGTTTTTCGCCTTCAGCACTTTAAATATGTCATGCCACTCCCTGGTTCTAAGTCTTTTCTAAGACTGAAAAGTGTGCTGCCAGACATGGGGCCTCTATTGTATGTTATTTATTTCCTTTCTCTTGCTCCTTTTAAAATCCCTTTTTTTTTTTTTTTTTTTTTTGAGAAGGAGTCTCGCTCTGCAATCCCGGCTCACTGCAACCTCCACCTCCTGGGTTCAAGCGATTCTCCTGCCTCAGCCTCCTGAGTAGCTGAGATTACAGGCACACACCACCACGCCTGGCTAATTTTTGTATTTTTAGTAGTGATGGGGTTTCACCATGTTGGCCAGGATGGTCTTGATCTCTTGACCTTGTGATCCACCTGCCTTGGCCTCCCAAAGTGCTAGGATTACAGGTGTGAGCCACAACGCCCAGCCTAGAATCCTTTCTTTATCCTTAACCTTTAGGAGTTTGATTATTAAATGCATTTAAGTAGTCTTCTTTGGGTTAAATTTGCTTGATGTTCTGTAACCTTGTCCTCAGATATTGATATCTTTCTCTAGTTTTGGGAAGTTCTCTGATATTATCCCTTTGAATTAACTTTCTACCTCATCTGTTTCTTTACCTCCTCTTTAAGGCCAATAACTTAGATTTTCCCTTTTGAGGCTATTTTCTAGATATTGTAGGTGTGCCTCATTCTTCTTTTTTCTGTTGTCTCCTGACTGTATTTTTAAATAGCTTGTCTTCAAGCTTGCTAATTATTTCTTCTGCTTGATCAGTTCTGCTGGTATGAGATTCTGATGCATTCTTCAGTATGTCAATTGCATTTTTCAACCCCAGCATTTCTGCTTGATTCTTTTTAATTATTTCAATCTCTTTATTCAGTTTATCTGACAGAATTCTCAATTCCTTGGTTTGTGTTATCTTGAATTTCTTTGAGTTTTCTTAACACAGCTATTTTGAATTCTGTGTCTGAAAGGTCATATATCGGTTTCACCAGGATTGGTCCCTGGTGCCTTATTTAGTTTGTTTACTGAGAACATGTTTTCCTGGATGATCTTGATGCTTATGGATGTCCATCAGTGTCAGGGTATTGAAGAGTTGTATTTATTGTAGTCTTTGCTCTCTGGGCTTTTTTGTACCTGTCCTCCTTGGGGAGGCTTTCTAGGTATTCAGAAGGTTTTGGGTGTTACGATCTAAACTTTATCTGCATTAGGGAGCACCCCAAGCCCAGTAACACTGTGGTTCTAGCAGACTCTTAGAGGTACTGCTTTGGTGATCTTGGATAAGATCCAGAAGAATTTTCTGGATTACCAGACAGAGACGCTTGTTATTTTCCCTCACTTTCTCCTAGACAGTCTCTCTCTTTCTCTTTGCTGGACTACCTGGAGCTGGAGGTGGGTGACACAGGTACCCCTGTGGGCACTAATTTCTATCTTTTGAAGACTTCCACCCATGTTATGGTTAAAATGCTTATTTATGTTTAATGATAGATTTCAGATTGCAGTTAATCTGAGTGTGGAACGCTATGCCCTGGTATTTGGAATCAACACCTTTATTGCCTTGGTGATTCAGACCATCATAACTGTGATTGTAGTAGATCAGAGAGGGCTCAACTTGCCAATCAGCATTCAGGTAAGCTGTAATACTTCTGTTTTCAACTCGGTAACCTCAAAGGTTTCTCAACCTTGCAACAAGCAATATTTAAATTTCTTGAGTTCCTTGGTTAAGCAAATTTTAATATATACAACTCCTTAATTATCATACTGTAACACACCAAGTATGTTTTGAGCAATAATTGCAACTAGGACAACATTTACCTGGATAATGCAGGTAAGAAGTAACTTCAGTGCTTAAATTTATTCTTGGAGACATTGAATGTAACATTGCACCAGCCTCCAAACAAAGACATAGAGACAAATCAATGAATTTTAGTGTTTTTTTGTTTTGTTTTGTTTTTTACTATTGATGGTAGTAGCTATGATTTTAACCCAAGCAATCTGCTCTGAAGCCAAGACTCTTAGTCACTGTATTGCTTACATCTTCTTACTTGATCTTGATTTCTTACTTGATCTTGATTTCTTACTTGATAGGAGAGTATTGTTCAACCTAAATGACCCCACATTAAAAACCTGGGTCTCAGTTAACCCATAATCCAAGCAAATCAACAGTATTATGTTGTATTATCATTGACATAGATGGTCATATTTTATATGTGGCTAATTATTTGTTTTTCTCCAGTTTTTAGTTTATGGGAGCTATTTTGCAGTAATTGCTGGAATTTTCCTAATGAGAAGCATGTATATTATCTACTCAACCAAATCCCAGAAGGATGTACAGAGCCCTGCTCCAAGCGAGAATCCAGATATGTCTCACCCAGAGGAAGAGAGTAATGTCATCTTGTCAACAAAACTCTAACCTCATTGCAATAATTGCAGCAGTGGCTTTTAAAGCTATGCAATAATAAGGAAGGATTTTAAGATGGGTGGCATATGTTTTGCCATAACTTGACATGCTTTTTGCAAATCGGGATTCCAATGGACCTTTCAAAACCACAATGAAACCTCAGCTTTAGACGAGTTCTCTATCTGCCCAATTTTACTGGATGCAATTGACAGAACCCATCGTCATAATTAAACAACCCATATTGGGGACCCCCCTGTGACCAGTAGCAGCTGGAAAATTCTGGTTTTTCTCACTTGTACGGACATGCAGATGGTGTGGAACCAAACCATGAGAAAACTCCAGCCATCCTGGAGTTGGCATTCACCATTTGTGGGGAGAAACACTAACTGGACGGACCCTATTCCTTGGCTTAAATACTTGTTGATCTTACCAAAGAAGTCAACGCATGGGACCTTTTTGTCACACGAGCCATTTTCTTTCTTCTTCTAATAAGTGTATTTCTGTTTAAGTTACAGTTCTCCAAGAGAATTACAAGGTTTATCCCATTTCTAAGGGCTTGTCTTCAACTCTGATAACAGCATTATTCACAAGTTATGATTTGATAGTATTATTATTTAATTTTTTATGATTATTTTCCATGTTGTGCCCTGAGTTTTGCTGTTGAAAGTCTACCTCAAGAATAGCTCCAGACCCTCTTGTGTATTTGCAGAATGACACTCAGGTCATTTCCCAGTGGCCTGGGAGAGGCAGGGAGCCTTCTCTCCACTACCATATAGAGGTGTTAATGCATCTATGGGCCAGGTGCAGTGGCTCACTCCTGTAATCCCAGCAATTTGGGAGGCCAAGGTGGGAATTTTGCTTGAGGCCAGAGGTTCAAGACCAGCCTGGGCAACACAGTGAGACCTGACTCTACTAAAAAATTAAAAAATTAGCTGGGCAGCATGGTGTGTGCCTGTAGTCTCAGCTACTTGGGAGGTCATGGGGGGAGGATGGGTTGAGCACAGGAGTCAGAGGCCGCAGTGAGCTATAATTGCACCACTGCACTCCAGCCTGGGCAACAGAGTAAGACTCTCATCCCCCTCTCCCAAAAAACAGCACCTGTGTGATGTCTGTCTAAAATAGGAACACTTAAAGGAGGTTTCTAGAAGTATTAGAAATAAGAAAACACTGATGGAGGGAGTGGAATGAAATACCTGTTTTTTGTTTGTTTGTTCGTTTGTTTGTTTTGAGACAGAGTCTCGCTCTCTCACCCAGCCTGGAATGCAGTGGCGTGATCTTGGCTCACTGCAAACTCCGCCTCCTGGGTTCAAGCCATTCTCCTGCCTCAGGCTCCTGAATAGGTGGGACTATGGGTGTGCACCACCATGCCTGGTTAATTTTTATATTTTTAGTAGAGATGGGGTTTCACCATATTGGCCAGGCTGGTCTCAAATTCTTGACTTCAGGTGATCTGCCTGCCTCGGCCTCCCAAAGAGCTGAGATTACAGATGTGAACCATCATGCCGACCAAAACACCTAATTTTTAAATGGCAGCAATTGTGCTACATAAAATGTGTCAACATTTTAAAGAGTTTTTAACATTTTTTTGATGAATTCTGCTGAAAATATCTGAACATACCTGTTTTTCGAAACTTCAAGAAGGGATGCATTGAGCAGTCTGACAGTGAAAATAAAGAATGCTGAGTCAAGATTTATATCAGGGCTGGCAGCTGTGGCTCATACCTGTCATCCCAGCAATTTGGGAGTCTGAGGTGAGAGGATAATTTGAGGGTCGGAGTATGAGACCATCTTGGCCAACATAGCAAGACCCTGTCTCTAAAACAAATCAAAAAAATCTTTAATTGCATTTTAATATGGTTTGGATCTGTGTCCCCACCAAATCTCATGTTGAAGTGTAATCCCCAGTGTTAGAGGTGGGGCCAGCTGGCAGGTGACTGGATCATGGGAGTGAATCCTTCATGAATGGTTTAGCACCATCCCCTCAGTGCTGTTCTCATGACAGCGAGTTATCGCAAGATCTGGTTGTTTAAAAGTATGTAGCACCTTCTCGCTCTCTCTTTCTCCTGCTTTGGCCATGTGAAGATGCCTGCTCCCACTTTGCCTTCTGCCATGAGTAAAAGCTCCCTGAGGACTCCTAGAAGCAGATGCTGCCACACTTCCTATATAGCCTGTGAGCCAATTAAACGCCTTTTCTTACAAATTACCTAGTCTCAGGTGTTTCTTCATAGCAATGTGATAATGGACTAATATGTTTCTCAAGTATACTTCTCTCCAAATCCCCAAATTCATTCACTGGACTAAGATCCAGCCCAAGAACCAATGCACTCACTTAGTGGAGAAAACGAGTAACATTCCTACTTACATTGAAGGCAAGGAAGGAATGGCTGCTATTCTTCTTTTTTTTGATAGAATCTTGCTCTGTCACCCAGGCTGGGGTGCAATGATACAATCTCAGCTCACTGCAACCTCTGCCTTCCGGGTTCAAGCAATTCTCCTGCCTTAGCCTCCTGAGTAGCTGGGATTATAGGCGCCCGCCACCCTGCCCAGCTAATTTTTGTATGTTTAGTAGAGAGGGGGTTTCACCATGTTGGTCAGGCTGGTCTCGAACTCCTGGTCTCAGGTCATCCGCCTGTCTCAGCCTCCCAAAGTGTTGGGATTACAGGCGTGAACCACCTCGCACTCAGTTCATTATCCTTCTTTTTTAACGTATTATACTGGAGGTGTTAGGCATCACAATTCGACAAACAAGAAAAATCAGAAGTCAAAAATTGGAAAGGAGGCCAGGTGCAGTGGCTCACGCCTGTAATCCCAACACTTTGGGAGGCTGAGGCAGACAGATCACATGAGGCCAGGAATTGTAGGCAAACCTGGGAAACATGGTGAAACCCCGTATGTACTAAAACCAACAAAATTAGCCGAGTGTGGTGCATGCCTGTAATCCCAGTCACTCGGTGGCTGAAGCATAAGAATCACTTAACCCGGGAGGCAGAGGTTGCAGTGAGTTGAGATTGTGCCACTGCACTCCAGCCTGAGCGACAGAGTGAGACCCAAAGGGGACCAAAAAATGCATTATGATTCATTCACATATTCACCTATAACAAAATTAACTGCTAAAAAATGAGGAAGATCTTTAGTGACACAGAACTCTAAGAGCTCTATTATCAAGTGGAAAAAAAGTCAAGCACCAAAGTAATAATGAATGCAGCAACTCGGCATTTGTACAAAAAGGAGAAAAACATCTGTATTGGCTTACATATGCATATAACTTTTCTAAAAAGACAAATGAGGCCAGGCACGGTGGCTCATGCCTGTAATCCTAGCACTTTGGGAGGCTGAGGCAGATGGATTGCTTGAGTTCAGGTATTCGAGACCAGTCTGGGCAACATGGTAAAACCCTGTCTCTACAAAAAATACAAAAATTAGCTGGGCATGGTGGCTTGCACCTGTACTCCCAGCTACTTGAGGAGGATGAGAAAGGAGGATCTCTTGAGCCTGGAGGTGGAGGTTGCAGTGAGTTGAGATCGCGCCACTGCACTCCAGCCTGGGTGACAGAGTGAGACCCTGTCTAGAACAAACGAACCAACAATCAAACAAATAAATCAATAAACAAATGAAACTCATACCAATGATTGTCCACTGTGGAGTAATGGGAAATGGGAGGGAGACATCACATTCTCTGGCATCTGATGCTTGCACCACATGAATAACCCACCAGTAAATTAAAATACTACTTTTACAAAAAAGCATTTAACCTCTTGGGAAATAAATCTGCATTGAAGAATAAGGAGCTGGAGATTTGCTATGCAACCATTATAGTGGTTTTATATTTTTGGTAATGTGAATGAATTACTGAATGTGCATTTATAATTAAAAGGAACAAACAACAGAAGAAAAAAATAAGTAGGCCTGGTCAGGCACCATGGCTTATGCCTGAAATCCCAGCACTTTGGGAGGCTAAGGTGGGAGGATCGCTTGAGCTCAGGAGTTCAAGACCACCCTGGGCAACATAGTGAGACTCTGTCTCAAAAAAATTAATAATAATAATTAGACCTGATACTGAAAAATTAAATTAAAATTTTTTATTTGGTATCTCATTAATGAAAAAAAATTTTTTAAATAACGACCCCTCATATAAGCACCAGTCACTTTGGGGTGTCATTTGATGATCAATCCCAACTGTGATTCCTCAGTCAAGAAAGAGCCTCATAGGCATATGAAACTGGTTCAAAGTCAAGCACGCAGGAAATAGTGAAGGTGCAATTTGAATTCAAGTATATCTGACCACTGTGGTCTTTCTATGATACCACCCTGCTCTATACTCAACACAGGAGAGTATTGTATCCACTCATGAAAGATAAAATCCAGAGCGGGGTCCCTATTTCCCCGGTCCATGGACTGGTACTGGTCGGTGGCCTGTTAGGAACTGGGCCGCACAACAGGAGGTGAGCGGCAGGTAAGTGAGCAAAGCTTCATCTGTATTTATAGCTGCTCCCCATCGCTCACATTACCACTTGAGCTCTGCCTCCTGTCAGATCAGCGGAGGTATTAGATTCTCATAGGAGTGGGAACGCTGCTGTGAGCAGTGCGTGCTGGAGATCTAGGTTGCATGCTCCTTATGAGAATCTAATATCTGATGTCTGTCACTGTCTCCTATCACTCCCAGATGGCACCATTTAGTTGCAGGAAAACAAGCTCAGGGCTCCCACCAGTTCTACATTATGGTGAGTTGCATAATTATTTCATTATGTATTACATTGAAATAGTAATAGAAATACAGTGCCCAAGGCCAGGCACAGTGGCTTACGCCCATAATCTCAGCACTTTGGGAGGCCGAGGCAGACAGATCACTTGAGGTCAGGAGTTCGAGACCAGCCTGCCCAACATGGTGAAACACCATCTCTACTAAAAATACAAAAATTAGCCTAGCATGGTGGCGGGCACCTGTAATCCCAGCTACTCGGGAGGCTGAGGTAGGAGAATTGCTTGAACCTGGGAGGCAGAGGTTGCAGTGAGCCAAGATCGTGCCACTGCACTCCAGCCGGGGTGACAGAGTGAGACTCTGTCTAAAAAAAAAAAGAAAAAAGAAAAGAAATACAGTGCACAGTAAATGCAATGTGCTTGAATCATCCTGAAACCATCCCCTCTACCCAGTCTGTGGAAAAATTGTCCTCCACAAAACCAGTCCCTGGTGCCAAAAAGTTTGGGGACCACTAACCAGCAAAATGTCAACTTATAGGATTGCAGGGACATTAAGTGTTGTGAATTTTAAAGTATATTTTAGAATAACTCAGGAGTAGCTAGAAAACATTTTGATCTAAAGAATTTTTATATTTCAAAAGTTTCTTACATAACTGCCCTTTACTGGGCACCATAAAATCAGTGACGGTTGGCGAGGTGTGGTGGCTCATGCCTGCAATCCCAGCACTTTGAGAGGCGAAGGCAGTAGGGTTGCTTGAGGCCAGGAGGTCAAGACCAGCCTGGACAACATAGTGAGACCAGGTCTCTACAAAACCTTTTTAAAAATTTTGCTGGGTGTGAGTCTGTAGTCTTGACTACTCAGGAGGCTGAGGCAGGAGGATCATTTGAGCCCAGGAGTTTGAGGCTGCAGTGACATATGATTTTGCCACTGCTCTTCAGCCTGGGTGACAGAGACCCCATATTCTAAAGAAAAAATAATCAGTGAATTTAAAGTAAAAAGGATGGCATGGTCCCTCTTTTAAAGACTAGCAGTAAGATAAATAGGATCAGTAGCCAAACACATGCTCTTCCAGAGAGAGGTTAAGGCCAAAAGAGCAGATTCCCAGATGCATGCTAGGAGGGCCGATCCACTCCACCTGCTCAGGGCAAGGAACTCATGACAGAAAGAAACTACTGATCACTGAGCTGAGTCCTGAGTGTGAGCTGTTGAGAACTTTCAGAACATTTAAGATTATCTGCGTACTTGTATTTTTTCAGATGCAGTAGGTTTTATACATTGTTCCAATGTGATTTATAACTCTGAACAGCAACCCTTCCCTTTTAGTATTTAAATTATAAATAGGGATGGTTTTTACTTTATTATTTTTTTTAAGGATGTGATGCTTGGCTCTGTGTCCCCACTCAAATCTCACCTTGAATTGTAATCCCCATAATTCCCACGTGTCAAGGGCAGGACCAGGTGGAAGTTATTGAATCATGGTGGTGATTTCCCCCATGCTATTCTCATGGAAGTGATTGAGTTCTCATGAGATCTGATGGTTTTATAAGCATATGGCATTTCCGCTGCCTGCAGTCACTCTGTCCTGCCGCCTTGTGAAGAAGATGCTTAGCCTTCTGCCATGATTGTAAGTTTCCTGAGGCCTCCCAAGCCATGCTGAACTGTGAGTCGATTAAACCTCTTTCCTTTATAAATTACCCAGTCTCAAGTATTTCTTCATAGCAATGTGAGAACAGACCAATACAGGTTGGTTTTTAAATGGAGATATATTTTGAACCTAAGGAAAAAAGTTAATTTTCAATTATTTCCTTCTCGATATGGCCTTTTTTTGGTTGCTATGCCTCTTTTCTAAAATTAAAACAATGATTATCTGAATAGAAAACTATTCCAAGTAAGAGACATGGCCGGGCGCAGTAGCTCATGCCTGTAATCCCAGCACTTTGGGAAGCCGAGGTGGATGGATCACCTGAGGTCGGGAGTTCGAGACCAGCCTGACCAACATGGAGAAACCCCGTCTCTACTAAAAATACAAAATTAAACAGGTGTGGTGGTGCATAGCTGTAATTGGGAGACTGAGACAGGAGAATCACTTGAACCCAAGAGGCAGAGGCTACAGTGAGCCGAGATCGTGCCATTGCACTCCAGCCTGGGTGACAGAGTGAGACTCCATCTCAAAAAAACAAACAAAAAAAACATAATCCTATGGCCAGGCACGGTGGCTCATGCCTGTAATCTCAGCACATTGGGAGGCCAAGACGGGTGAATCACAAGGTCAGGAGTTCGAGATCAGTCTGCCAACATAGTAAAACCCTGTCTCTACTAAAAATACAACAATTAGCCAGGTGTGGTGGCATGCACCTGTAGTCCCAGCTACTCAGGAGGCTGAGGCAGGAGAATCGCTTAAACCCGGGAGGCAAAGGTTGCAGTGAGCTGAGATCACACCATTGCACTCCAGGCTGGGTGACACAGTGAGACTCCGTCTCAAAAAAAAAAGAGAGAGAGAG